ATGTGGGGGCAGATCCCATCAGAACCTTCTGCAGAGCCGATAGCATGACTCAGAGTGGTCCACTCAAGTGCAGCAGCCACGGCTGCAACTGGAATCAGAGGTGAGGTTCTGTGGATGTGAGTCAGGACCCCAGAGGTGTCTGAGCCTCCTGAGAAAGGAACCTTTAATCCGAGACCAGAAGGATGAATCAGAATCAGAGGAAAGGAAGCAGGGAGAGAAAGGCGAACATTCTGTTCAGAAAAAACAGGAAGTTCAAGGGTAGGAGAGCAGGGCCCTTTTGTAGAACTAGGGGAAAAAATTACCTGAGGCTGCAATAGAGACAGCAAGAGAGGAGGTGAACAAATGATGGGAAATGGAACTTGGGGGGGGCCTGTAAAGCAAGTTGAAGCTTCATCTGAAGGGCAACAGGAGCCCCTGAAAGGTTTTTAATAGGGGAGAGAATGTTCAGATTTTCATTTCTAAAAATGGTTATAATGTCCCCTCAGCAGGTGGACTCCCTGCTGCTTTTCCAAAGAAAATGCAAGCATCAAAGTGGCAAACCAAACTTTTGTGGCAACATATAGCATATATGGTCTGCACACATGGGGCCTTCAAATACCAAGAGATTCTTCTACAGATGCAAATATTGCCTACAGATTCTGTTCAGATTGGAGGACCTGAGCCCAAAGCCCCTCCCAACACAGGTCTCTAGAAATGAGATAAATGTGGTTTTGATCCATGACAATGTTAGGAAGCTGGAAGGAGTTTCCTTAAGAATAAGAAATCTTGAAAATTCCCTGAAATATGGAAGCCAGTCAAATCAGAGTTTAAAAGGATCCCTATACTGAAGCTCATGTGGGCAAACACTTTTGCATAAAAATGAGAGATGGGAGGTAGCTCCAAGAATACTCAAAGCCTTGAGGTAGGCCAGGCATGGTGGCTCACACCTGTAATCCCAGTACTTTGGGAGGCCAACGCGGGTGGATCACTCGAGGTCAGAAGTTCAAAACCAGCATAGTCAACATGGTGAAAACCCCATCTCTACTGAAAATACAAAAATTAGCTGGGCGTGGTGGGACACGCCTATAATCCCAGCTACTCAGGAGGCTGAGGCAGGAGAATCACTTAAACCCAGGGGGGTGGAGGCTGCAGTGAGCCAAGATCACACCACTGTACTCCAACCTGGGCAACAGAGTGAGACTCCATCTCAAAGAAAAAAAACAAAAGCAAAAACAAAAAACAGGGATTGCTGGGGCCCACCCCATGAGCTTCAGATTCATTTGGTCTGGGTTTTCATTTCTCACAAGATCCCAAGAGGGGTTGATGCTGCTGGCTCAGGGATCACACTTTTAGAAGCATTGCTCTACTGATGACATCTGCAATTTTAAGTACTAAACAGCTATTTCTTGTTTCATCAAGGTTTGCAATCTCTTGACCTACCAATTTAAAAGATTAAGATACTAAGAAAACTTCTGTTATTCTACTTTTACTTTCATTTAATCAAATTTAATGACATTTGCATTTTATGTTATCACCATAGTTCTGATTTTGGCTTGACCGTAAATACTGAAAACCAATAAATAGTGCTAATTTGATTGTGGCTTCATGATTATTGCTCACAGTTGAGCCAAAACAAGTGTCATGATTATATATCCTCCTCTATAGTTGCAAAGTTAAAGCCCAGGAATATGCAACTTCTACTGCAGATAGAACATTCCTAGGATCAACATTCTTTTCTTCTTTATACTCTTCTACTTACTCAAAATCCTACCATTTTAAGTTTTGGTATGCTATGTTTCCATTTCCATTTGCCTTAAGAAATTTTTTAGTTTACCTTTGAATTATTTCATTGACCCATTGAAGGTCTCACACTGAAAGTCTCACATCATCAAGTAAAAGTTCAGTCCTAAAACTATACACATCATAAGTTCTCAAAACTCATGGTCTAAAACTGGTCATGTGACCAGGCGCAGTGGCTCACCCCTGTAACCCCAGCACTTTGGGAGGCTAAGGTGGTCAGATCACCTGAGGCCAGGAGTTCAAGACCAGCCTGGCCAACATGGTGAAACCCTGTCTCTACTAACAATACAAAAATTAGCTGGGCACGGTGATGGGTGCCTGTAATCACAGCTATTTGGGAGGCTGAGGCAGGAGAATCACTTGAACTTGGGAGGCAGAGGTTGCAGTGAGCTGAAATCACTCCACTGTATTCCAATAGCAACAGAGTGAGACTCTGTCTCCAAAAACCTCAAAAATCCTTGAGGTAGAAGAGCCTGGGAGCAGTAGTAGCTCTGCATACCTAAAGGGAAATGAGCTGGGGCACCAAAGTAGCAACTGTGAGGTCAACATTGCCCTTTGGACTAAGCAGCAACAGAGCAATAGAGGTGTCTGTCCCCATGGAGGAGCCAGGAGTATGAGCCTTTAGGACCCAGAGCTAAAATAGTGTTCCAGGGGACTGGTGACATAAAGAAAGAATGAGGAGCTCCCTCCCCATGAAATGCTTCCCTGGCCGCTCTATGTCTGACTCACACCCTGTCTCCTGTAGGTAAACTGCAATAAACAATCAAAGACAGGCTAACAGGGATCCCCCAAAACAAAGATGATTCTTCAGTTAAGACTTACTAAGCAATTGTGGAAATCTATCTCTGTGCAATAGACATCATCCTCTTACCAAATACAGAACTTGCACCTGAGGAAATAGAGCTGATAGCTGAGCTGGGCTGAATAATTAAATTATCGGGGAGATGTAAGATTACCATATGCAAACACTGTGAATGATTATTTGTTTATTTATTTATTTATTTATTTATTTATTTATTTATTTTAAACAGGGTCTCACTCTGCCACCTGGGCTAGAGTACATAGATGTGATCACAGCTCACTGCAGCCTCAACCTCCATGGCTCAAGCAACAATCCTGCTTCAGTCTCCCAAGTAGCTGGCACTACAGGTATATACCATCACACCCAGATAATTTTTGTATTTTTTGCAGAGAAAGGGCTTTGCCACGCTGCCCAGGCTGATCATGAATTCCTGGGCTCAAGCAATCTGCCTGCTTCAGCCTCCCAAAGTGCTGGGACTACAAGAGTGAGCTGCTGCAGCCAGCCATGAATGATTTCTATTTGGGAAGTTAACTTAAAATTTGATAATTTAAAATATTCAATATATAAGCTGAGTAGTAATAGAATGAACTGCCAAAGAGAAAATGTGTGAGTTATAAAATCAAGCCAAGAAAACTTCCAGAATGTAACTAAGATTTCTATTTTTTCATATTTTATTTATTTATTTAGAGATGAAGTCTCACTGTGTCGCCCAGGCTGGAGTACAGTGGCATGATCTTGACTGCAACCTCTGCCTCCAGGGTTCAAGTGAGTCTCATGCCTCAGCCTCCCGAGTACCTGGGATTACAGGTGCCCGCTACCATGCCCAACTAATTTTTATATTTTTAGTAGAGATGGGGTTTCACCATGTTGGCCAGGCTGGTCTCGAACTCCTAACCTCAAGTCATCCGCTTGCCTCAGCCTCCCAAAGTGCTGGGATTACAGGTGTGACCTACAACGCCTGGCCAGATTTTTAAAATGTAAAACAGAAGTTAAAGTGATATATAATATAAATTGGACTTAGCTAGAATTTAAATCTTCTGCTTTTCAAAAGACACTGTTAAGAAAATAAAAATACAAGCCTAGACTTGGAAAAAATGTTTGCAAAACATGTATCTATTAAAAGACTTGTATCCAGAATATGTAAAGAACTCTCAAAACTCAATGATAAGAAAAAGAAACAACTCAATAAAAAATATGCAAAAGATATGAATAAACACTTAACTAATGAAGATATATAGATGGCAAACAAAAACATGAAAATATGCTCAATATTATTAGTTATTGGAAAAACAAATTAAAACCATAAGAGACTTAATACCACTACATGCCTATTAGTATGACAAAAATTAAACAGACTGACCACACCAAGTACTGGTGAAGATGCTGGTGAACTGGCACTCTCATACACTACTGGTAGGAAGGTAAAATGGTGCAACCACTTTGGAAAACAGCGTAACGGTTTCTTTAAAATTTAAACATGTACCTACAATATAATTTAGTCATCTCATTCGTAGGTTTTTATCCAAAAGAAAAGAAAATACACGTCATACAGAGACTTGTCTACAAACATTCACATCAACTTGATTTTTAATAGCCAAAAAGTGCAAACATCTATAGATGTCCATACATAGATGAATAGATAAATAAATTGTGGCATATTCATATAATGGAATAACTACTCAACAATATAAAGGAATAAACAAGCAATAACATGAATGAATCTCAAAATAATTTTGCTGAGTGAAAGAAGACAGAAAAATAGTCCATATTTTATTATTTTATTTATATAAAATTCTAGGAAATATAACTAATCTACAGTGACAGAAAGCAGATCAGTGGTTGTCTGGGATCAGCAGTGGGAGGGACAGGTGGGATGGCAGAGAGGAATTACAAAAGGCAAGAAGAAACTTTTGAGAGTATTAGATATGCTCACCATCATGATTGCAATGATGGTTTCCCAGGTACAGACATATGTCAAAACTTATCAAATAGCATCTTTTAAATATATACAGTTTACTGTATATCAGTTATACCTTAATAAGGCTATTACTGTGTGTGTGTGTGTGTGTGTGTATGTCTCAATTTTATATGGCCATGACTCTTTTCCCTGCTCACCTGTTGCCCCAGTTTGCAGAGCCATGACATATGCAATGAGACAGACCTAGGCGTGATCCTGGCTCCACTGTCATTCTGGCTGTGTGCCCTTCAGTAAATGATTTACACTTTCAGAGCCTTCATTTTTTTCCTTCAAAATGGAGTAGTGCTTGGGATTATATTAGTGAATGTCAAACACCTTTCACATAGTAGGTTCTTGAAAACTTTAGACCACCAATCACCCCAGAAACTGAACCAGCCATATTTATGATTGCCCCTAAGGCATTAACTTTATTTTTAGCTAAAGACACCAGCATGCAATCGCCTTGAGTCCAAAGGTCCAGGGGGAAAGATGTTGAAATGCTGAGCACTGCCCTGCAGGCCCATCTGCTCTGCATTAGTCAGCCTTCCTCTGTTTATTATTCCATGTGTTAAATCTCCTCCAATTCTTTTTTTTTTTTTTTTTTTTTTTTTTTTTTTTTTTTTTTTGAGACGGAGTCTTGCTCTGTCGCCCAGGCTGGGGTGCAGTGGCCGGATCTCAGCTCACTGCAAGCTCCGCCTCCCAGGTTTACGCCATTCTCCTACCTCAGCCTCCCGAGTAGCTGGGACTACAGGCGCCCGCCAACCCGCCCGGCTAGTTTTTTTGCATTTTTTAGTAGAGACGGGGTTTCACCGTGTTAGCGAGGATGGTCTCGATCTCCTGACCTTGTGATCCGCCCATCTCGGCCTCCCAAAGTGCTGGGATTACAGGCTTGAGCCACCGCACCCGGCCTCTCCTCCAATTCTTGTGTGAAAAGTTCGGGCGCACAATAACCTCTTTATCACATTTTCAAATTCTGGGCCTGTTCTGGAAAGTTTACACCTTTTTCTTGTTCCCATTGTTTTCATGTGGATTCAGATTTCTGAAAAAGGCATTTGGAGCACTTTGCTGAAAATATTTGGGTGTAAAGCTTGATGAGACAAACATTGCCCAAAAGTGAGAATTAGATGTCAGAGGAATTAAAACTATACCACGTGGGCCATGTGGTACAGCTGTGGCTGTGTGAGGAGAATCTGAGGCTCAGGATGGTGGTTGAGAGCCTGTGGCTGGGCAATACTCTTAGCCGCTCTCCTTTGGGGAATAAATTAAATAATACTGAAAAGAATAACAGAAACATGCCAATGTTGGAGCAGAGAATAAAAGGGTCACAAAACTCTGTAAAAATAAATGCATCCTAACAATATTGCTTACCATTCATTGAGTATTATTTGTGTACCTTGCTTCACAAGACAAACATTGCCCAAAAGTGAGAATTAGATGTCAGAGGAATTAAAACTATACCACGTGGGCCATGTGGTACAGCTGTGGCTGTGTGAGGAGAATCTGAGGCTGGGGATGGTGGTTGAGAGCCTGTGACTGGGCAATACTCTTAGCCGCTCTCCTTTGGGGAATAAATTAAATAATACTGAAAAGAATAACAGAAACATGCCAATGTTGGAGCAGAGAATAAAAGGGTCACAAAACTCTGTAAAAATAAATGCATCCTAACAATATTGCTTACCATTCATTGAGTATTATTTGTGTACCTTGCTTCACTAAGTGCTATTTTATTGAAACCTCACAACACACCTTGAGTTAGGTATAGAATAAGCAAGGGTTCTTTTAGCCATAAGTGACAGGAAGTCCACCTCAAACTGGCTTACCACATAAAGAACTTTTTATTGGATATGTAAGTTTAAAGTGCAGATTTAGTTCTACCTTCAAGTGAGACTTGATCCAGCAGCTCCCAAAGATATTTTCAAAGACCAAGACTCTTTTCCTCTTCTCTCTGCCTTCTTATTAGCTTTGTCTTTGGGCTTCATGGAGTCAGTTCAGATGTCCCAGGTTTCCCATGGTGGCAAAATGGCTGCAGCTTTTCTAGACCTCACATCCTTACAGAGAAAGAGAGAATAAACCCTGAAATTCACTCTCATTGGTCGCAAATGGGTCATGTGTCCATTCCTAAACAGATCACTGTGGTGGGGAGGGGGAGGTGAGTAAGAAAGGTTGATTATATCAAGTCTTTGGAGTAGGGGATGGGGAGGTAGTCCACACCCAGTAACTAGATGTCGGTTCAATCCCAACCAAAGCTGCAGGCTGAGAAATGGGGAGAGGTGGCATCCCAAGGGAAAAAAGGGAAAGGGCTAATTCCAAAAGGGAAATGGATGCTGGGGACACATCCAGTGAACGCCCACTATAGGGTACTCATTCATTCATTCGTTCACTATTTAGAAATTGTCAAACAGTATTTAGGAGCTGGGGCCACATCAGGAAATAAAAAGCGAAAATCTCTATGGTAGATTCTGTTGATGCCCCCACTGCATGTCCCCTTGACACACCTGCAACTGTGTTGGACAGTTTCTATGCACAGGAACTATGTCTACCTCTGCTTCTTGGCCAGAAGGCTTTCTCTGCACGGGGCAAGCTTGCTCAGCCCATGCACAAGTCAGTCTGAATGTACCAGAGATTTAAGCCTCCCTACATTCAACAATGGGCAGGAGTTGGGGACAATACTCCAGTTTTTCTATCTCTAGGTAGGAAATGTATGAGAATTTCAGCTCAACAGGGCTTCTCAGAGGATCTCCAAAGAATTGTCCACAGCACTAATAAGTTTACTAATGCCTCCTTTATTGATTTTACTTTCTATGGTTTTTTCCCCCAGTTCCCTTTCTTATACCCTTCAGGATCATCTCCCAAATGAACAGCCAACCCCATATCCCCTGTCTCAAGGATCAACTTTCAGTGGAACTCAAACTCAGACCATCGCTGCCTTCATGGGCTTACATTCTGGTGGCAGGAGGAGATGAATAATAAAATAAATGAGCAAACTACGTGATGTTATATTAAGATAGGTGTTGTAGAGGAATATAAAGTAGAGAAAGGGATAGAGTGATGGGGTGGGTATGGGTGCAATCTTAAGGCCTTGAGGAAAACACTACAGGTAAGTTAAGACCTAAAGAAGATGTAAGGTTAAGCTGTGTTAACAGTCAGGTTAGGCTGTATTATGCTAAGATAACAAGTAACTCACAGACAATGATGGCTTAAATGACAGAGGTGTATTTCTCACTGAAACCACATGTTCATTTCAGGTCAGCTGGGACATTGCTCCACATGCATTCATTTAGCAATCAGCTGAAGAAACATAGCTAATTATCATGGGAGACAGAAAAAAAGAATTCTAGAAGGTCTCATCTCATCAAGCAAAAGTTCAGCCCTAAAGTTATACATATTGTAAGTTCTCAAAACTCATTGTCTAAAACTGGTCATGTGGCCAGGCACAGTGGCTCACTGCTGTAATTTCAGCACTTTGGGAGGCCGAGGCGGGCAGATCACCTAAGGTAAGGAGTTCGAGGCAAGCCCAGCCAACATGGTGAAACCTGATCTCTATTAAAAATACAAAAATTAGCCAGGTGTGCTGGTGTACATCTGTAATCCTAGCTACTTGGGAGGCTGAGGCACAAGAATTGCTTGAACCTGGGAGGCAGATGTTGCAGTGAACTGAGATCGTGTCACTGCACTCCAGCCTGGGTGACAAAGTGAGACTCTGTCAAAAAAAAAAAAAGTAAAAAATAAAATAAAACTGGTAATGTGGCCCCACCAATCACAAGTGATGAAGGAGGTACAACTTACCAAGTGTCTGGTTGACAGAGAGATAAAAATAATCTGTGGACAGGCCTACTAACACCACAGTCCACCCTTCTGGATCACCAAATATTCTGACAAAATATGCACACCATCTCCTAAGTGGAGAAAAACAACCATATCCAACTCAAAGTCCATGAAGGATAATTTGTCTCCACATCAGGTTTGGTTATGATTTACTTGATCCAGAGACCTACAAACTAAAAAGACAAGTTGCCTGAACCCAACATGCAAGACATGAGATCTGGGTTTCAAAAAACAAACAAACAAACAAACAAACATGACAAGCCATACTAAAAGGCAAAAATACAGTTTGAGGAAATAGAATAAGCATCAGAACCAGACAAACATCACATGCCCTCACTCATATGTGGGAGCTTAAAAAGTGTATTTCATGAAGATAGAGAATAGATTGGTAGTTACCAGAGCCTGGGAAGGAGAGAGGGGGCACAGAGAGAGGTTGATCAATAGGTACAAATACACACTTTGATAGGAGAAATAAGACCCAATGTTTAATAGATAATTATGGTGACTATAGTTTACAATAATCTATTGTATATTTCAAAATAGCTAGAAAAGGCCAGGTGTGGTGGCTCACATCTGTAATCCCAACATTTTGGGAGGCCAAGGCAGAAGGATTGCTTGAGCCTGGGAGTTTGAGACCAGCCTGGGAAACATAGTGAAACTCTGTGTCTACAAAAAAAAAATTGTAAAAAGTAGCCCGGCATGGTGGTATGCACCTGTAGTCTCAGCTACTCAGGAGGCTAGATGGGAGGATCACTTGAACCTGGGAGTTTGAGACTGCAGTGAGATGTGTTACACCATTGCACTCTAACCTGGGTGACAGAGTGAGACACCATCTATAAAAAAATGTTTAATGTTTTTAAAAAATTGCTAGAAGAGAATAAATGTTTCTAGCATAAGAAAATACAAATATTTAGGATTACAAATGTCTTAATTAGACTTATTTGATCATTACAAATTGTATGAATGTATTAAATTATCACATATATCCCCAAAATATGTACATCTATGTATATATTTTTTAATCTTTTTTTTTTAAAGTGAAGGACAAGAGGTGCCCTGCCATGCCAGGCACCCACCACTGAAGCCTGGGACATACCATCTGCCTACTAACCCATTCCCTCCACAGTACATGCCAGGTGCCCTAAGTCAACTACCCTCCTCCCCTCAAGATAGCACAATATTGGGCTAATCTGCTATGTTCATGGCCACACTGTTGATTGTCCTGCTGCTGATGGTGTGTGATGAGGGGGGCATCCACTGTATTTTGTATGGCATCTTTTTAAAATCTAAATTCAAGTTTCTGCAAGAACTGATGGGAGACACAGAACCCCAAAAGGGAGATCAAGAGCATTCCGGGTCTGAAACCGAAGAAGACACTTCATTCTCTCCACATCTGAATGATCAGATTCATTCACCAAAAAAGGGTACCTGCTGATGAAGGCCACTGTCCCCACACATAGTCTGTTATTGGTGAATGATGAAAGAAAATTGCTAGCCTCTGTCTTTAGTGACTTGGCTTTGAAATTTACTAAATGACTGAAGAACATTTATACTTGGATTTTAAGTCCAAAAAAAGAAAAAAGAAAGACAAATACAGACTCAAAGACATTCCCAAACAAAAATTGAGAGAATTTGTTACCAGTAGACTTACCTTGCAAGAAATTTTAAAAGAAGCTCTTCTGACAGAAGAAAATTATATAGGTCAGAAATTCAGATCTACATAAAGAAAGGAAGGGCATTAGAGAAGGAACAAGTGAAGGTAAAATATAAAGTTTTCTTTTTCTTTCTCTTTTCTCTTTTTTTTTTTTTTTTGAGACAGAGTCTTGCTCTGTTGCCCAGGCTGCAGTGCAATGGTGCAATCTCGGCTCACTGCAACCTCCGCCTCCCAGGTTCAAGCAATTCTTCTGCCGCAGCCTCCCAGGTAGCTGGGACTACAGGTGCATGCCACCACGCCTGGCTAATTTTTGTATTTTTAGTAGAGACAAGGTTTCACCATATTGGCCAGGCTGGTCTCGAACTCCTGACCTCGTGATCCACCCACCTCAGCCTCCCAAAGTGCTGGGATTACAGGCCTGAGCCACTGCGCTCGACCTGTTTTTCTTATTCTGAATTGATCTGACAGATAACAGTTTGTTCAAAATAATAATAGCAAGGAGGTGGGGCAAGATGGCCAAATAGACGCCTCCACCAATTATCCTCA